GCCCTGTCAGGGTGCGCGGCGACAACGGCAACCATACTATACCACGGCCAATGGTAGTAATCGACGCGGTTAATTAGGCGGAACAGAGAGAGGGAGAAAACCGTTACACTACAATAGATTAAAAATCAGCTGTTGCGCGCCAATAGATGGAAGCACTAGCATTGGCTCAGGTAACTTGATCGTAGAAATCGATACATATATATCGAGGGTAAATAATGACAAATAAATTTGACGAAAAATAAATAATGGCGAATGAATTTGGCATTATTCACCCCTTGATTTATATGTTATCTATGCATACACCACTGATCTCTATAGGTGTTTTGCAACAGTCGAGGGCGTCCATACCCAGCGGGTGTGAATAAACATCGACCAGATATTAATTAAAAATATTTAGATTGTTTAGGCGCATACATAACATCCACTTTATTCATGCGAAATAACCACAGAGTCAAGATCCAGACTCCGCTAGAAACTTGTGCCAGCTAGGTTTTGAGCATTTCAGACATGTCTCCGGATCTCATTTCACACGCGAGAAGAGCGGACCGCGGTCACCATGGCTACGGAACTTGACGGAATAGCATAATTGCACGACAAGACCAAGCTCACTTGCCATGCTCTCTAGACGTCAATGAGGCATCTACCTTGAGTGCATGACGCAAATTTGTGCTCGCTAGAGCCGAATATTACTGTAAAAATCGGAAAAAGTCTTTTCTAGAGTCAAAATAGTGTAACATTGGGAAACAATTGGCAAAAAGCTTCTATTTTGTGCCTCCTATATACTAGTTGGATAGCTTTTAGCGGCAACTAGGTATAGCCATCAGGAGTCGTAACCATCGCTCCCAGTAGTATTATCATAGAATGAGCCGGCAGACTGAGCCGAAGTTTGACGTATTTCGTACAATACCTCTATGTATAGTATTATATTCTTTGTCTCTCTCATATTCTGTTGTGTATTTATCAAAGTTTGTTTTCACATGAATATAATATAATAATTGCCTAGGAGACCGAAACGGGCATTACACAGAATATATATATATATATATATATATTAAACTGC